GAAATTGTTTATATTTACAGGTAATTAAGCAGCTCCCTTCGCCCTGACGATTATATATTGGCGAGATTTGCTAAATTATGGTGTACATTTTATTTTCTAGTCAGTAAGTGGTTCTGAAAGCTTAGAATAAATGACTGACATAATGAATAATACTAAAAAGTGCTAGTGGCATCGCCAGATGCTGACATACTAGTTGTAATTTGGTTCTGAAATATTATAGATAGGAATTTTAGGAGATGAATTGTGATTATGGTGTCTTAGTTAGCTGAGCTCTAGGTTTAGGGTTGAACTTGATACAGGAGAGTGCTAAAATGTTTTACTCTTGGTTCAAAAGTACTATTTATTAAAATAATTAAAAATCGTTGAGGTCGACCTATCTCTCGTATCTCGAAGGGTATGTGTGGTTCAGACTTTAACTGACAACTATGGTCGTGTACTATTATTGGAATAAACTTATTAGTTAGTGTTATTATCTGTTCTGACTGCAATGGAATAAGAACCTCTTGAATGAATTACTGTAGAGAATCGACTTTTACTTGACTTTTATCTCTTCAGAGCAAACCTCAGGAAGATACCGCAACTTTGAGGCTACCTGTACGGGCGATCATATCATCATTGAAATTAGTGTAAACTGGTTTTGGATTCTATGTATTTTAATAGTACCATGCTAATGCTTAACTCTGTCCCCACTCCCACCTTAAAGAATTGAAGCAAGGATTCATCACTACGTCTTTAGGTCGCTATGGAAAAGCAGTCTAAAAAAATTCTAAAATTCGGCGTTTGACTCTCCTTTTAATCTCTGGTGACACTTCACTCGATGACGTCAAGAGGATCGAATTGTCTTTCAAGGGTAGATAACAAATGGAACGGAGTCTCTGGAGTCCCAAATTATCTTTAATAACCTTCTAGGAACAAAGGCTTTTTGACTTTAACTGAAAAGAGATATAGGCTACAATTTATCTCTATTTAAAAAAGATCCAAGTTTAGGTTCTAATTATGGTTGTCTTGCAAAGAATTAATGTGAACAGAGTCAGCTTGTACCTTGGTAAGTAGTAGGTGGGAATGGACTGGTCTAACAGTCACAAGTCCGCGCGGTTCGAAAGATTCGCTCTTAAATGGAAAAACAGGAGAGCCAATTAGATCTTTGGAAGGTCCAATTCTTGTGGGCTTTTCAGGACTTGAAGAAATATGTTTGTCTTGAAAAAGTCTACATCCTAAATTTTCCCTTGTAACTAATCTACTGTTTATCAAATTAGCTTTAAATTACTAGAATGATCGCCCCCCGAGCCTTTTTAGTCTGAAACGAAGGGTAGCCCGATCCTTAGGCTGGGTGTAGTCTTTAACTAACTCAGAGTAATAACTGCGTCATTAAGTGATGGCGCTGCAGAAAGCTTGCGGCGTACTCTTGTGTCAGTGTATGGCTGTTCAGGTCGAATAGGATCTGTGAGCTAAGTGTTACTCTTATGAGTAATATAAAAGAATACTACTAGGATCGATTCTAAATTCTATCCTGCTAGCTTTAAACTGGCTAAGGTATAGTATTATCTTTTAGTATTGAACTAGAATTGTATCTTTTAACATTATGAAAGGTGCTTTCCGAGCTGGCCTGTTTTGGCTGAATTTGGGGCAGTTCGGTCTCAATTATAACTAAGTCTGACTGCTTGCTTGGATGACTAGTTCAACTGATTGCGCAGGACTAAGTTTTCATATGTGATAGCTTTCCAGTAAAGGATAGTATTATAGCAGTCTTGTTCCCTAGTATATACTATAACATGCGGCTCGATCACAAATAACTTGAAAACTTGGATAAGGAAACGTAAGTTTAAAGTAAAAAAATAATAAAAACTCTCAAATCAAGTTCCTATAAAATTATTAAATCGTTTATTAATAAGACGGAAATCTTTTAGTGCAGTTACTAATGGAGCAAAATTAGTTTTTCCTCTCTTATAAAAAAGCAAAGCCTTTATAATACCCTCAATTAATTTATAAATTAAGGACCAGTATCAAACCCGAAATTTAAACATTATTATATTAAACTCGGCAACTTTTCTATCCACTTTAAAGAACCCTTTGAAAAATTTTATATTATCATTTGAGCCCCTTTTAAATATATGCTGTATTTTATGACATACCAAGATTCTAGCAACTTAGTTTCCAAATTTGTTTTATAACACCTGCTCTCGCATACTTGTGCCATTTTTGGTTAGTGAAAATTGTTACTACACATTATCTTGCCACCGCTAATTTTACTTAATTAAAAGGTGAAAAACCCTACGCTAACTTAAGTCAAAAAAGCCTCTGTCATTATTATCATTCTTTTCAGACAGCAAAGTCTGTTGCAGGACAAATAATAAGCAAGTAAACTTATATTTATACCCTGCTGTATACACGACACATTCGCTTTCTGAACTCAAAGGTTTAATCCGACGAATAACGTTAAAAAATATTACTTGAAGCGCCTCCACAAGCTCGAAAAACATCTTTATAACCCCTGTAATCCGAATGAATTGCCTAGACGTCAAATAAGATAAGCAATCCAACCAAAAGGGATCGAGACCGCATTAGAGAACAAAAGAGAATCTGTGAAGTTATTGAAAAAGGGGGTTTTTTTAACCAACAATACGCCTTAAACTACCCTCAGTACCTCCCAAAACGTCTCCTCAAACTATTGAAGGGATTTTTTGCTAAAAAAACTAATTAATTTTCTATTTTAATCCTCAATTTCTTTCAATGTTTTCATTGTTGGAGTTCACTGAAACAATACAAGAGATGTCCAACTTTAGCAACTACAATTATCAACACATTTTACACAATCATTGATGTTATAAACATCATCATAATAACCTTAACTTATTGGAACATATGAGAGCTGCATAGCGTGAATATTAACATTAATGATATATCTATAGACAACAGTTAATGGGTGAGTAAACCATTACAACCAAATCAAATAATGTGTTGTAAAAGTATTTTTAATAATTCAAACTCATTGAACACATCAAAGTTCCTAAAAAAGATTAGAGAAAAAAATAGAAAAGGCTCATAGCCAATCCTGGACTTTTCAAGGGTTCAACCTGCAAAAGTTTTTGCGAAGCCGCAAGTATTCTAAGATCGAAGAAACTGAAAAAGGAAATTATCAACAACTTAAGCAATAAGAATTTTTGCACAATGAAATTTCTATGAGCACTAATTTTAAAGTTGGAACTCTTATCTATACCAAATAATAAGTTCCTTGCAAAGACCCTATAATACTAAGCGCAGCCGCTGATGAAGGTCCCGTCCACCAAAAGGTAAATTTGGTTGCGCACACAAATAAAATCCTTCGGGCATTATTTTTGGTTTGACTTGGGCTTACTTTTTAACTATAACCTCTGGAGTACGCTATTTATAGTCTGCACTCAGGGCGCGGTTCGTTACGTGTTTAGTAATATATTGATTATATAAGGTGTTTTGACGTTTTCTAACTTGGTTTTTTAGACTTTAATGAGGCTTTTAAGCTCTTCCTTCAAAACACCACAGCAATAAAAATATAAAACAATATTAAAGGCATTTGTATCTTAAAGAAGTGCATCAACTGTACTGCTTGGGGACGAAATATGTGGTGAGGGTTAGAAGTGGAAAGTTATGATATTAACTTCTATTCTCAGTAACTTGCCCTAAACGTTCTTTATTTATATATGCCTTGTTCCTTCCGCTTGACTATTTTTAAGCGCCTCAAAATGTGTTTTTTTTTTAATGGTCTCTCTTCTTTCTGTGTTATCAGTAAATTAAAAATTATTCTCGGGCAACAAAAAAAAATGTGTTATTAAAACTTTAAATTCCTTATTTTTTAGATCAAGGAACCTTCATTTTTCATCCAAGTAAATAAATAAACTTTGCGATGGGTTACGTCTAGAAGATATTTGAATTATGTGTTATTACAACTCAAAGGTTAAAAACGAGGGGTTGCCCTTTTAATGAAAAAATAACAGAGTGATATAGCTGTAACAGGAGTCACACCTAAAAAAACGTATATAGCTTTAAATTTAAGTAACTAAAGATTAACTACCTTCGTTTTATTAGTTACAACAATTGCTAAATATTGTACTCGTAGCAGTAAATATATAAAATCAACTATTTTGAGTGAAAAGTCTAAAATCTGACGACCTGACTGCGGTACAAAAAGGTGGTGAAAGTAGAGATAAGAGTTCTAAGTGTTTCAGATATTCTGAAAAATGATAAAACATTTGCTTACTAGTTTAATTTTATACATAGTATCTTTATTAGTTTAATCAGCAAAGTGTTACGAAATATTTAAAACGCGATAATGTATAACATTTACGGTTTGATACCGCTTTTATAAAGTTTAAGAAGGAATTGCGCTGCAATGAACTTTAGCAAATGACAAAATAAATTCATTCACGCCACACACGTATTTTTCGCCAATACTTTCAAGCATTTTAGTTCGCCCGATAACGGGCATCACTACTGTTACAAAAAATCTAGACAAAATACTTTAAAGACGGGTTTATGCAATTGTTGCATGCTCGAAATGAAGCCCAACGCGTACTCGTTAGTCGCACACGAGCACGTGCATGAAAAAAAATATTAAGTACGTCCCAGGAGATTTCAACTTTTAACCTACACTAACTAATAATCCTGGATATCCATTAAATTTTATACCAATCTATCTATATTATATTACTATATTTTCTTTAATACACCCATTTGTTAAAAATTTGTTAGTCTAGATTTACAATTCTTAAACTTTTGTAAATTTTTAACCCCTCTTTAAGGCTGATATATCAGGGCGTTGTTTACCATTACAACTTATGTCATATATATATATATTTAATAATTTGTCTAGCGACGCTACCAAACGCAATATGCAGGTCACTGGGAAATTACACCATGTGCAGAAAATAAGAACTCTGCGCTGCTCCACTCCAACTATTTTTTATATAGAATATTTTACTGGGCGTTCGCGAAATTACATACTTTCTTAACTCATATGTCAGCAATAAATAAGCAAAGGTTTAAAAAATATAAAGAAAGAACGAAAAAAGGCTAGTGACACTGCTAATAAAAGTGTAAACCCTGCTCCCTCCAAAAAAGCAGGAACGATATTGCTTACGGTCGCTGGTACAATCACTATAGGTATCTTCAATTCTGGATGGTTTTCTTGTTGAGCTTTCTAAATATTAATAATTTATATTAATGATTATAATTAATTATTATAAAATATGATAACGAATGCATTAATAATAATACATTACCCCAAATGGAAGTAAGCGCTTCAAGTTCACCAACGACCAGCAAAGACACAATTTTACGATTTTTAATTAACTTTAGCAATTTACTGAAAGTTTTTTGGCCTTCCGCGGTTGGTTCCTAATTGAGCCCTGCTTTGAATATGTATTTTTTGTAAATTTGCTGTTGATAAATATAATACTCTCAAGTTTTCTTTTAAAGATTTTTTATTATAAAAAGAAAACTAATGAAAACTTACCTAAAAGTCTCCAATTGTCAACACTCAAAGTCTAGCTTAAAACTTCCTCGCTTACAAAACCGCAAATCGTTAAAAGAAGTAAATATTATACTATAGTTTTTGAATGCCTTTAATATCTAGAATAAATACCTTTACTTATTTATTTGCTAGTTTTTTATATTTATTTTTATGTACCCTTTGGGCTCATATTTACTATCTTTTATTTACTTATTATTACAATTAGTAGCTACTTCTATCTTTTTATTTTTACTATAAAAATTTACTATAATCAGCTATTGTTTACTTTACTTACACGTTTATAATTTCAGATAATACAAACTTTTAATAGTTCCTTTTTTAACCTTCATTATTTTTAATAGCTATTTTATTTAAAAAAATATATCTCTATTACTATTTTACTTATATTTACTTTTTTTTACTTGTTCATTTATCTTAACTTTATAAAGTTCAGTATATTCTAATATTTATTATTAATTTATTTGTCATTAATAAATAATAATACATAGTAACATATTTATAATACTTATTAAGAATATAATTATTTTGCATACAACAGTTTATGTATATATATTCTTATAAAATTCACTGCTTATACTTATTTTTTCTCTTCGTTTAATATTATTATAAGTATAATTTACTTATTGAATTTTTTTTATAAACAAGCATATGCTTGTAAAATGAATACAATTGTTATCCTTATTTATATATTCCATTATCTCTTTCTTTGCCAGATATTTATTATTAGTATACCCAATACTTATAAAATAAATAATAATTATTTTTAGTATTATTTTATTAATTATTATTAAAGTTAGTATTACATCTTATTACTTATCCTTACATAATATTTTATTTAATTCTTCCTAATATAACGTTAAGGTATTAATTATACTGCTATTATTTTTTATTTTTCTTAAAAATTATAATTATATAATTTATTTCTATTAGTTATAGTTTTTTTGGTCGTCCTTCCTTATTCTTTATAAATTTTTCTTTTAAAATTACTCTTTTCTTCAATATATTATTTAATTTATAACTCTTTATTTATATATTTACTTTTAATTACTATTACAACTCTCAATACGTTGTAATATTCTTATTGTTCTTTCATTTGTTGTAATTATCGAAAGTCACGAAACATTTGATAAAAAAAATTTATTATTTATAATCACTTTTATAAGATATATATTACTTTTACATATATTAATTATTATTATAAATCTCAATACTTTCATTTTTATAGTTTATACTATTTTTACTATTCTCTGTTCACATTATTAAACCTTGAGAATTATTTAATATCGTTGTTATTCTTTAGCTTAATATTTTTATTTATTTACGTACTTTTCATTTTTTTCTTAACTTATAATAATTTAATATTTATTTAAAAACTACATTTCTTTAAATATTTAACCCATTTGAACTCCGTAAGAAGTATAGCCAAGATTGGATCCTAAGTGAACTGTCGCCCTTACAGCGCTTATGTTAAAAAAATAATATAACATACATAAATATATAATATTCAATTATATACTTTTTCATAACAATAATGATATAAATAAAATAAACGAAATTAGGTATATTATAAAAGATTTATGAAGCTTAATAATAATAATAACACAAAACCTGTTCATTCCAGCAACGGGAGCACCAATAATAGCATTGCACTTTTCCTTCTTTATTTAGTAGTTTTTTATTAAAAAATTAGTATATATAACATTCATATTAATAATAAAAGAACAGTAAACAAAAGCAATTATATTAGAATAATAATACAATTCATCTATTCATTTATTTATTTAATAATTAAATAAAAAAAACTTTTACATTATACTAATTCAGGTTTAATTTGTTAACAACAATTTATCTTTAGAATATTTTTTATACGACAAAAGTAAAGATTTCTAAAGGTAAGTACAAACACTTAAAATAAATGTATAGACTATGAAATAAAAGTTTTTTACTTTCAATGCTTATTCTATAAAACATATAAATTAAAAATTCTATTTTTTTTTTCTTTTTTACTTTGAATACACTTTATAAAATAATTACTATACTAATATAGTTATATATTCTTCTCTAAAGTTTGTTGGCCTTTTTTTAGGAGTGGAGCGGTTGACCGCTATTCGGTTAAGTTGAGTTGCAAAAAAGGGAAATCGATCTCCTATTCACAAAGCCAATAAAAGTTTCGCACAAATCGAGATGAGACAGTAAACATTCTAAAAAGGGGTTTTCTTATGAGCAGAATCCTATTCATATGCAAGCCGTACAATGGGATCATGCTACATAAAGGTCTTACTATAGACTTGACTTCCTTTGCATACAAGAATTTAAGGCAAATTTAAATTTTGTCTAAATTAATCTTCTGTTATTTACCTTACGTTGCCTGTGGTCATTAGGATATGCCTATAATATTTGTAAATTTACTGAAAAAAAAAGTTAAATCTTTCTAAGACCATCTATATAAGAAGTGCACGTTTTACAAGTTTATTACCGCAAAATATCATGATATCAACTACTAAAAATAGGGAGTACTAAATATAACCCCTTTAGCGGGCACCAGTGGTTCACCTTCATATTCATAAAAAACAAGACCTTCTAAACTCAAATATTATTAAATACGTTAAAGACTTAGTTATATTCCCTATTAGGAAAGCTAACTTTGAAACAAGACCCCTCACAAAATTTGTTATTTTTCTCTTTAATTAGATATTCATATTTGTATTGAAAACTCTGCCCGCTATAACTGTAAATTACTAAATTACTTTAAGGTATGCTTATCATTTTTTCGTTGTCTTTAGAGTATAATATAAATCTCTTCCAGCAGTTTATATTGTAAAAAGGTGTTATTATAACTGTAAAAGTGAACTAATAGTAGTGCATTCGAGGAGCCACAAGATTTAACAACTAATAGAAAACTTTTTATTTCTGTCCTGCTTTTAACTAATCCTCAAGGTAAAAAATCTCAAGGAGTTTATATTAAAAAAGATAGTATACTAGTTAAAACCAATATAGTAGTAAATTAAAGAAATCAAAAAACAAATCCTAAAACAGTAAACTTTTTATTCCCGTCTTGCTGCTACCCCTTTAGCAAGGCCTAAAAGGGTATAAAAATTTCCGACAATAAAAACACAAAAAATATAATAATTTTGGCTAGAAATTTAAATTATCAGTGAAGTGAAATGTTCATAGGCAAAAAAAAATTTTAAAGTTACCTTAAACTCTTGGCTTAGAGGAAGTGATTACTTAAGTGGTATATTAATATACATATTATTATATATGTATTGCAACATGAGAGGAAAGGCGAACTTTATAAAATCCATATAAAGCATAACCTTTTTCTTTGAGCACTCTTCCGCTGAAAGAAAAAAAATTGCTCTCTATTCTTTTTCTGTGTAATTATAATACTAAAATTTTAAAACCCAGGCTCCGTATTGCGGAGCCCTAGTAGGTTGCATAGTCTAATTCCCATTTTATTTACATCTTGGTAAGCAGTCTTTAATATATTTGACCGCATAATTTAAAATTAAATTGTAAACTGTTTATACTAAATCTACACCTGTAAATAAAGAGCTATTAAAGATTAAGGGACCCGACATTATTGTTACTAATATGAAACTTCGATCATTTACTTTGGTATCAACCAGATTTATAAAAAATACGCCAAAAAAAAGATATAGCCAGTTACCATATTTGTAAACCAACCCTGGACTTGATAGGGGCCGTTTCGCAAAACTGCAAATATTCGGAGGTAGAAGGGAACATATAAAAAAACAATAACTTAAATAAAAAAAACTTATTATTAGCTAAAATATCTATAAATTTTTGAAGTTATATAAAAATCAGGTTAATGTGGCTAAATAAGTCCTCACGCGCTATGCTAAGTTATTTTTTCAGTTTGTGGTTAAAAAGTCCATACCAACCGAGGATTTTGTTTTTCACGCACTTAGCTAAGTTTTCTTTGAGGTTTTTTTTATTTTTATAATTGGTACATCTATAAACTATGATTTTTTACTCGCATTTTTAAGTTGCCCGATTATCTATTGTGCAGTATGCTATAATCTATGCGTACATATCCATAGATTTTTCCCACGCCAATAATGGAACACTTAGTTTAGGAGAAGGTAACTAGGGATTTATTTCTCTTTAGAAATGAGTTAACAATATTTATTATATTCTTCATTTGCCAATAAAACTTAATTGGTAAAAACAAATTTTTCTTGTTGCTATCTTCTAAAACAGATAGCTATTAGTCATTTAAAAAAAAATTATCATAAGTGAAACATAATATTCATTCATTTTTAGGTGTGGCATCCAGTATAAGCTAGAAGATTCTCGAACTAATAAATAGAGTGGAATAATCAAGAAATAATTTTAATGAAATAGAAAATCAGTTTTAATTAACTCACGATTTATATGCGAGTATACAAGGGTGGTCTAAAGTAAAGCTGGAGCGTACTAATAAAATGTAAAGTTTTAATACTTTTTATGTATTTCCATGCGCATAATAATAATAAAAAACTGAAAGGCTGCTTTAAGAAGTTAATGATTTTTCATACCGATGCTAACTTGCATAAGACTAATTAACCTACTTAAATTAACCTCAGTGACCTAAAAAATCAAAGCCACGCAGTGCCTCAACTTAAGTTTATTCTTAATTATTTTTTTATGGAATATTATAAGTCTTCGGCTTAAATACCTGTATTTTTATAAAACACTTGCTCACTTTTTTAAATTATAGCCCTAAATGTGGCAGAACGAAAGTTTACGATCTTAAAATTATGAAAAAACGCTTTGTTGCGTGATGTTACTTATACATCTTCAGTAGAGCCAGTGAACTTTAAAAAAAAAGTGGAGCAAATTGCGGTTTAGTTAATTTCCAGTTAGTAGCAGGTATAAATATATAGAGAGGTAGACCCCGACCCTTTTCTTTAGAGTGGCTTGCTTTAGACCTCTTGGCTGTGATGTGTTTTCTTTTCCTGGGGTTCTCCCTTTTCTTTTTGTTGGTGAAGGTTTCGTCTCCCCAGAGTTGCGTAAAAACTTGGAGAGAAAAAGAAAAAGAATTGTAAGGGTTTATTGAATATTATCATCATAATTAAACTGCTAAAGAAAAAGCAGCTTTCGTCGTTTAATTTATAACTTTTTAATAGACATAATGCTTTTGCTTCATTATAGTTATACGTTGATTAAAACTTAAAAATATTTAATACACTCATTGCGCTCTCTATATTAGAAATTTTTTTCGTAAATCAAAATTTTACATGTCTTTGACTACGTTAGTGTATAACTTTAATGCTCCCTTAAAAAAATAGAGTTATCCAGTCTTGCTCACTCCCTAAGTTTCCTTCAAGTAAAGAAATCGAGCTTAACTTAACTTTTATGTAAGTCCTTCCTTTTTATTCTAGCAATTTTTGCAGTTAAAGCGAGTAATAGTCTTCAACTTACCCCTTAAATGTTCTTGTAATTTTGTGTGTGTTATATACATCAAAGTTAACAAATGCAGAAGTAAGAAATCATTATAGTCATATTCTTTCGTGTGATTTATATACTCATATTTTTTCTTACGTTCGTTAGAGCACTTCTCTACAACATTTGATATTTCTATGTTTACAGCTTTAAAATTGCCAGATTATTTAATTTTGTTTTAATAGAAACTCACAGGGAAATAAGGTAAGTCCGCAAGAAGGCAATTTCTCGTATGAGAAAGTTACATCCTTGTAAGTTCTCCTTGTTTATTATAGTACCTGAAAAAGTAATATTCTGTTTAGTTGAATATTTCGTTGCATGCTGATTGTTTTTCCTCACTGGTTTTTAATTACCTATTAATTGTAGAGATTATTCTCATAATAAGATTTCTTCTCCTGACGATACATCGCAGGGATTTGTTAGTGTATCGCAGCTGTAAGTCTTGTTAAAGAAAAACATTACTTTTAGTTATTTTGAATGTATAAGCCTTTTTTCAAACCAATTAAACGAAACAAGTTAATGTTAAATTCCTGTTCTTTAAATAATTAACAGAATGTTACAAGACAACGAGTTAACTGTCATTGCAGATGGCCTCTTCGAAAAAGATGGTCTCTTCGAAGGAGGCAAACTTTTGTATCTGTAAGTTACTGGTTATATTTTAAAATATATCTTTTATATGTAACGTAAACTTTCCTAATGGATAAACTTGATCATTATATAAATAGAAATCTATCCCGAAATAAGATAAGTTCGATTGAGGATTCTGCATTTTCAGGCTTATCAAATCTAGTTTCACTGTAAGTTAAATAATTTATGAGGTTATATGCGGGTGGTAAAAGGCAATGAAATCTTAAATTATGATTGCAGCCTAATTCTAGTTATTTTACTTACGTAGCTAAAAAATTTAACTATAGAAGTAAGTTTTATAGTTAAAAAAGGGATTAACTTAAGCTCCTTTGAGTATTACTTGTATCACTACAATATAATAAAAGTTTTTTAAGTTTTTTGATCAACAGGCTTTTATTCACTTTTTTAAAGCTTAATTGTTTAATTTAATTACAATATTTATTCAATAGGAGCTTAGACAGCAACAAACTTACTAAAATCGAGTTGGTTAGTCCATCAATACCTAACGAGGAGCTGTATGGCGGAAAACTTGCCAAACTTACCTATTTGTAGGCAATTTTTTTTCCAAATATTATTAAAATATTAATATAATAACCGGATTCATATTCTAAGTTCTTTAATATAGGAACCTTGCTCACAACAGTATAAGAAGTGTTGATAACGAGGTATTTGCTGGTTTAACCAGTTTATTAACATTGTAAGTCAAATATAATATTTACCTTTATAAGTCTTTTTAATTGATGGTAGAAATTAGTTGAATAACTGTTACTATATAAAACTGGTTAACTTTTTTTCGCTTTTTATTTGAAGGGAGTTACAGGGGAACCAGCTTACTACAGTGGACCGTCAGTACTTTGTTGGGCTTGAGATGCTTTCGTACCTGTAAGTTAAAAATTTTTTTAACAAAACTAACGCTGTACTTTCCACTACCAATATTAGCTTAGTATTACTTCAGTTATAGCTTGTAATGGTCCACAGTTTATTTATAAAAAATTAATTTTTTTTTACAAACTAAATGATGAACTACGCGCACGTCGTCGCCTGGTGTCAAAAAGTTATTCGTTGTTTATTATATTCACGGGTTAATACTGAATAGGAATCTCAACGGTAATGATATTCGCTCAATTAGAGGAGCGTTTGATATTATGGCCGAGTTAAAAAAATTGTAAGTTTTTTGTCCGTAAATTCCTTGGTTGGCTTAGATTTTTTAGGTCGCCTTTTTAAATATTAATTAAATTAACAAGTACTTTTCTTTGCTTATAGTCATTTAAAATTGGTTTGTCTCGTATAACTCTTACTCTTGTGTTACAAATTTTTTTTTATTAATTAAAGAATTGTAAAGGCGCGATTTATTAAAATATTAGTAAAGTATTAATACTTTTGGTGCTGCGTCCGTTTGGATGGGTAAGCAACGCTATGTTTATAAAGCTCGTAGCGTTAGTGGTTATGCACACCAGAAGAACTCTGAGTATTGAAAGTTGAGATATATGCCTAACCATCTATTATAATTTTATTTTTAAAAGGGATTTGAGTAAAAATCTTCTCTCCGTGTTGGATTTGAGTAGGCTTGGGCCACATAACAAGCTTGAATTTCTGTAAGTTGTGAAAATTTTTTCCTTGCCATTTTATGGTTATGTAAAAATTTTACAAGTAAAAATTTTTTTTTTAAATTGCAACGTCGCTACAACTGAAAGTCACTGCCGCACGCATCTCGTTTATATAAGGAACATGCGGCAGCGCTTGGGGCAATATTTGTCAATTATTTAAAGAAGCAAGTGTGACAAAAATTATAAAGAGACGTTATTTATCTTTTTCCGTGTCATATTCCTTGTATTAATAAACAACTAAGATTATAAACTGCCTATATACTATAATTTTTAATTACCCTTGAAAGTTACATTAAAGTGGTTGTCATTATGGCGTTTTTTTTTGAATAATGGAGACTTAAATAGCAATTACTTGTTTCTCTGCTATCTCTCCACACATTCATAGCTTTTTATGCTTTCTTTATCCTATAGACGTCTTGATCGTAATCGCTTGAGTGATATCCCACCCAACTTGTTTTCTGAACTAAAGGCCTTGACTTTCTTGTAAGTTGACCCGGAATACTTATCTGTTTTGGGCACTATACAAATTTTATAAGTAATTTTTGTTACGGATTAGGTGTAAAAATGGAATGGTACCCTGTGTATATTTTTATAAAGTTCTTAGGGCGGGTTATAGGGATATGAGTAGCATTTACTTGGACTATCAATGCGTCATATAAACTTATATGCTAAATTTCTTAATAACTTTTAGCGTTTGCATTACTATAATTATTTACAAAGCATTTTTATATAGAGATTTGAGTGAAAATTTTTTAGTCTCCCTCGAGAAGGATTTGTTTAAGGACCTTAAGAACCTTAAGCACTTGTAAGTTTGCATCCAGCCCTTATAACCATTGTGTGTACTTGGATACATTATGTTTTCACAGCTACCTTTTTTTTTTGAGCTTATGGTTTTTTTGGTCTATAGATGTCTTAATGGTAATCATATTCATGATATCCCACCCAACTTGTTTTCTGGACTAAAAGCCTTGACTTTCTTGTAAGTTGACCTGGAATACTTATCTGTTTTGGGCACTATACAAATTTTATAAGTAATTTTTGTTACGGATTAGGTGTAAAAATGGAATGGTACCCTGTGTATATTTTTATAAAGTTCTTAGGGCGGGTTATAGGGATATGAGTAGCATTTACTTGGACTATCAATGCGTCATATAAACTTATATGCTAAATTTCTTAATAACTTTTAGCGTTTGCATTACCATAATTATTTACAAAGCAATTTTTATATAGAGATTTGAGTAAAAATCTTTTAGTCTCCCTCGAGAAGGATTTGTTTAAGGACCTTAAGAACCTTAAGCACTTGTAAGTTTGCATCCAGCCCTTATAACCATTGTGTGTACTTGGATACATTATGTTTTCACAGCTACCTTTTTTTTTTGAGCTTATGGTTTTTTTGGTCTATAGATGTCTTAATGGTAATCATATTCATGATATCCCACCCAACTTGTTTTCTGGACTAAAAGCCTTGACTTTCTTGTAAGTTGACCTGGAATACTTATCTGTTTTGGGCACTATACAAATTTTATAAGTAATTTTTGTTACGGATTAGGTGTAAAAATGGAATGGTACCCTGTGTATATTTTTATAAAGTTCTTAGGGCGGGTTATAGGGATATGAGTAGCATTTACTTGGACTATCAATGCGTCATATAAACTTATATGCTAAATTTCTTAATAACTTTTAGCGTTTGCATTACCATAATTATTTACAAAGCAATTTTTATATAGAGATTTGAGTAAAAATCTTTTAGTCTCCCTCGAGAAGGATTTGTTTAAGGACCTTAAGAACCTTAAGCACTTGTAAGTTTGCATCCAGCCCTTATAACCATTGTGTGTACTTGGATACATTATGTTTTCACAGCTACCTTTTTTTTTTTTTTGAGCTTATGCTTTCCTTATTCTGTAGACGCCTTGATTATAATAGTATCTATTATATTCCATCCGATTTGTTTTCTGAACTAAAAGACTTGACTTTCTTGTAAGTTGATGCCTACCTGTCTGTTCGCTATATATTTTAAAAAGTAAATTTAGTTTAAAGTTAGACGTATGCTATGTTAATTATATTTTTTTTCATAAAGTCTAGTAAAGTAAAGTTTCGCTATTCTACGCTTTTTTTGTACCGTTCTTCATTTGTAGTTACATTTAATTTTTATTGCATTAATGTCCTGCTTAGAAAAATTAATAATGGAGTGGGTGATAACGCTATAACTGACATCGGACCCAAGGCTTTTCCTGCTATAAGTCCAAACTTCATGTAATAATTTTTATATAACAAATAATATTAGACTACAACTGTCCTTTATAGAAAATTACAACTTGGGAAATCCTTCAGTTGTAAAGCACGTTCGGATTATAGAAATCTCTTAAAGTTCACTGATGATTTCTGCACGCTTGAGACGGGGACTGTCCAGAGTTTTAAAACTTTTTTAAAAGACAATTCGCGAGAGAATGAAGGCCTAACGCCTGGTTTACGAGGCCAGTCGGGAGAGGGTGAAATATCAAATGCTGGCGTTGCGGTGCCTATTTGCGTACAAGTTGGTGTCCTCGCGCTCTGTCTTTTGATCTCTTTTTTGGGTCTGTACTAAAATTTTTCAATAAAATCCAAATAACTTTCCTTTCCTCTTTGATCCAAAAAAAATCGTTTTTAGGTATAATACAAGTATCTTGCCGTCGAATGTAAATAAATTTTCAACGTTCAATACTTTCAAATCATAAAGATAAAATCAAATACTTAAAAAAATAACTTTAACTTAAAATTAAACTTAAAATTTTTATAGTTTACGATTAGAATTAATTTATGACAACTTTATTTGCTTAAGATCTAGGGAAGCTTTGTTGATAGAAGGGGAGATGTCTCAAAAAAAATAGAGACAATAGTACTGAGCCTGGGCTTGGATAAGTCTTCTACTTTTAGTACAACTTAGTTTATCGTACAGAAATGAACACCACGCGTGTAAAAGTTTCGGGTACTGGAGTATTAAAAAAAAAGTTTTTAAGTCGGATCTCAAGTTTTTTAATGTCAGGGTACCATAGTCCTCGACTTGCAATTATTGGCTTTTGTGTAGTGGAGTGGTTTTTTCGAATACTAAATGGTATGAGGGAACAAGATTTGCAGAAATTGCGAATTTTTTGTAAGCTGGGAGGCGTTATATTTTCGGTGATTATGCCAACGCAGGGAGTAAGCTACTTGGTGGCCAGTCTTTAGTGAAACTGTTAGTATTGTTACTTTTTTGGGCATAAAAAATTCTAATTTGTGGAAAGGTAACCCTCTTAGAAAATAAATTAAATATTAATTAATTTTGAAAGACACAAATGCTACTAAAGAGGAATCTTTTAGCAACAAATTGCATATACCTTAAGGGTTCTTTTTATTAATTTTAACGAATTTAGTTTAAACCTCTTTTTTATTGGTAAACACTTGAGAATCACATTATGCTAGTTCCAGGGCACGAGTTTACGCTTGTCCTACAATTTTTATTTCTAATCCGAAGGTATATACACCCCTCTGTTACGGGACAATAAATAGACCTCTTTTTCTCAGTCATCAACGCTTTAGAGAATACAAAAAGAAGCTCTAAGTATAACCGGCGTGGAACGAACAACTCATTTACGGAGCCTAAATGGGTAACGTGCCTGTGATCGGTTAATATATTATATTTGTCTATACTTTTTAGCACAAACTCTACTTTTGAATTCTTCGTAGCATAAAATGTTCGGGTAGCCCTCTAGCGGTACAAGTTTTTTGCTCACGCTACAATAACGATTTAGCCTTGATAGCAAGTTTATTCATATTAAAAAACTCGGCCTTTTAATATTTTTAGAGTTGAGTTTTTTTCTAAAAAGATAATTATAGCTAAACTTGATAGTATTTTAATTCTTATTAAGTACTTAACACGCCATTAGCTATGCGCAACGAATACAAAATTTGAAATTTCTGAAAGCTGAAAAATATTTATAGAAAACTTTATTTTTTTATTTTTTATATATCGGACTTTTCAATGAAAAGCCGCTGCTGAAGAATTTATCAGGAGCTTGTAACCTTGACTTTCAAAACAAGATTTGAATTGCGGTAAGTGACGAATTTCATGATAACGAGAAGATAATCCCTTATGATTATCTGTAAAAATATAATATAAAAAGAGAACTTTATTAAAGCAAGTGAACTTGTAGAAAAAGAAAGGCGTAAAAATATTATAAATTTAACGTAAAACCAAAATTTGAAATTTGAAAAGAAAACATTTTAATTAAGTAAAATTTAAACAAAAACAACGAAAGTGGAGTTATTAAGTACTAATTAATAATATAAAGAATATTTTTGATTGGAAACGGAAAAATGTAGATTAACTTAAATGTTAGAGCGGCAATAGAAAGATAATAAATATTTTTTAATATTAAAAATGTGTGCCAAAAAAGTAATTATGAATTAGTAATTGTTTTGTGAATTTGAACATTTTTGACAGAAATTTGCGGTAAATGGGTCCCAAAAACTAATTATTTGATAAAAAATTGTATTAAAGCAAACAACATTTTTTAGAGTAACCAATTTATATACAAACCAAAATAAATTAAGCGATTGTTAGCATTGAAAAAAATTGTAGTCAAAATAAAAGTGACCCAGAAAAGGTCAAAGGTTTTTAATATGCCAAATAAATAAAAATGCTGCCAATTTAGCTATGTTGAGTATTGAACCCATAGAATTTTTTTTTAACATCAAATAAGTAAGAATTGAGCCAAAATTATTTAAACGGATACATTTTATTATTTTTGAGAGTAAGAAAAAAAATGAGGGACAAGCACACTATTTCAACAGTGCAGTTTGCTTTGAAAAAATCTAATTCGCAAAAACTATTAAGTAATAGGCCAAATAACTGTGTACTCTATTAATAAAAAAAACCAATTATTAAAACGGTAAAATTTGTTTTTCAGAACCAAAAAACAAACCAAAATAACTTTTATTATACAAATAAAATATGAAGATTTAATGGGATTTGTTTTTTGCATACCAAAACAATAGTATATTGCAAGAACAGAGAAAAATATCCTTTATTATACCATTTAGTAAAGAGGAGCAAACTATTAATGTAGATCGGTATTTTTTAATTATAAAATCACAGCATTTGGCAAAGTCATATACTTATTATAGACAGCAACTAAGTAAAAAGGTTCAAATTACTAACAAGGTACAATAAGTTTTTCGAATAAAAAAAATAATAATTGCAAATACCACAAGATAAATGACCAAATAAATAAAGAGGACCGAATTATTGTCATGGAATTTGCTATTTGGAAAACCTAAAAATAGTAAAGACTATTAAGTATAGGTTAACTTATTTGTTAAATTCGTTTTTTAAAGAGCCAAAAATAAATTTGTAAAAGTTAATAACAAAGGGGCCAAATAACTATTAAATTCACCCAATTATTAACTTGCCTAATTTAGTTTCAAAGCCCCAAAAATAGTAATTTGCAAAGACATATTATTTATTTTTGGAACCCAATATAATAAAGAACAGATTTTTAATGTAGAGCAATTTGTTATTAAGCGACTTTGCTTTAAAAGATTACATAAATAAGTAACAAAATATAAAAAAGGGCTTAACTAAACACTGAACTCTATAATTTCTTCAGCAAGTTTTTCGTGGACCTAACATGACAAGGAAAATCAGCAACGCCCGGTTTACTATAAAAATTAATAATTAAATAACAAAATATACTTTAAAAATGATAAACATTAAAAATTTAATTTTATATAATAATTAATAAAAAATTAAAAAATAAAAGAAAAAAAATTTAATTTTATAGATTAAAATTTGTACGCATTGAAAGTTAAGAATTCAAATTAAAAGACAGAAAACCAATTTTTAAATTTTTTAACATGCACGGTCGCCTTGTAATATAGTCTTTAGCTTTTTCTTGACATCCTTCTAAATCGCCTCTGAAGAAAACAAGCAGTGTAAAATTTTTTTATAAACTAAATAAAGATTTAAAGAAATTAAGTTTAATAAATAATTTATAATTATTATACTACCGTAACACAAGTTAACAAATTGATTTTGAAGATCCATTACTGGCAAAGCAGTTGTTCTACGTAGCAAAGCTCTCATTCAACTTTGCCAAGAAAGTCTAACTAAATTTATAAAGTTTATATATATTCAACTTATAAGCTTTTAAAAAATAAAAATTTCTAGCACTATTGCAATTCCATTGCTACCTGAAAGCCACAAAAGTTTGGGTAAATAACTAAACCTCGTGGCTATGCTGGTACTAGGAAATCACATAATCGGATGGTCTTTTGTGCCGTTCGGATCTGAGTGGTGTTCTAGAATAGTTTTAGTTACTAGTACTATATATAAGCTGATTATCCCAAATAAGTATATTTTTTTAAAAAAATTAAACTTGTTAACATAAAAATTAGATAATTAATTAACAGATTTAATAAGTTTTCCAAAGCGTAACGTAAAAGTCGACATCTTTAATAAAAGGTAAGTTTGCTGTAGGATTCTTCGCAGCAGTTTTAAGCTTCATTTGGTCAAATCTATAAAAATAAAAACTTTTTACTAACTAGTATTTTACTTGATTTTAAATAAAAGGATTTACGTTAATAAAAGAGATAACATAAATATAAATAATAAGTAGAGTTTATCAAAAAGTTGTTAAATTAAAACAATTAAAAGTTAATATTTACTGCATCAAGCGGAGCGTGTGGATGCTCAAAGGCAATAATTAATAATCCGTCTTTGCATAAGTACAAGCCAGCTTTAAAGGCGCAACCAACCCTTACAGTAGTAGAAAACATACTTATCAAAAATATATTCTTAACAAAAAAGTTTTCCTTAAATTTTCCAATAACTGAACACTACCTTTTCCGGCATTTCACGTGCAATTCTTTTAAAACACTCTTCTGAGGAAAAATACAAGACTAAAAAATGCTAAGCAACGCATATGAAAAAATTGCTTAATTAATTAAACAATATATTGCTATCACTAAGTAAAAATTGAGTTTCTTATAAGAATAATACAGTCCTAATATTTACTAATATTTACACAGTAAATAGTTTTAATAAGTAAAAAGTGGGTTTTGTAAAAGAACGATGCATTGCTACTATTTACTTAAGAGAAAAACATTTTACAATAAAACAATGTGGTGCTAATATTTACTTTATAGAAAGAAATTATATATATATTAGCAAAAGCCTAGAGAAAAAGGAACGACATAAAGCTAAAGCGAGATAGTTACTAAAAAAAAATTTTTGAGCTAATATATAATTTTGCTATTTAAAAAGGGCCTAATTTAGTATTTGAAAACTTTATAAATAAAAATCTTTTAATTAGCTAAGGTCTTTTATTTAGTTTCCTTAACTATTTCGTCTTTGAAGTTTTTAACAGTTGACTATCTGCAGGGACAGCTTAACTTTTTTTTCTTATCAGTTATAATTGGTAACCCATTCTCTTAAGGTGTTTTATAATAAAAGTAAATCGTAAAGGTAAAGGAGGTTTTCTTATTTCAAAATAATTGTAAAAATGACGGACCAGCGATTTAATTTAATATAAAACTTTCTAACTAGAGCATTAAAATTTATTGCAAGGAGACAAGGGCGCAGAGCTAACATAGACCGCGCAATTAAGCAAAAACAAAGGGAAAAAAAGTAATTCAATGAACTAAAACTAAACTCTGCTATTAGTTGTTTTAATAAGGGCTTTTACTGCGTAGAGGTGGAATATCCCTTAGTTTTTCACAAGCAGTGGCCCAGACGCCTTTGTTATTACTAGAAAGATTAAATCTAAAGACTGTTCTTTTGGCGATACTAAATACACAAAGAAATCCTCTATTACTCTCTCAAATATATATATTATGCGCTCGTGGTGTCCCACCCAAAATCTACTGTATATTATTAGTAAAAATACTTCCCATTAGTAATAGTTTTTCACTGTTGACAAACTGTGAGGTTTCAATGAAACTAACTTTGAAGAGGAATAATAAAATTTTATACTCAAATGGAAAACCGAATTTTTAATTAGAAAATAATTAAAAAAAGTAGAAACACAACTTTTACTTTCACTCCTTCAGAGATGAAACAAACAAAACAATGTTACTTATGACTTTAAATATTTTTGTGAGAATACCCAGGGGTGGAGATTAAAATTATAGCCGTAGTGTTAAGCTTCGGTACGCCACTGCAAAGCGCGTACCGAAAATTTAATTGGAGGCTAATTATCTTAAAAGCGGTCGAATAAGCAAAAGATTTCATTTAGTTATCTCCATAAAGGCAGCAGACGTTAAAAAAAACTTAAGCACGCGACGTGGGTGTATTATAAATAAACCTGTCTCGTTGTACCAATTTCAAACTATCTTAAAAAATCAGGAGTCAACTTCATATAAAATCTCTTTATCTTCCATTCTCTAATTTATAACGAAAAAAAAAGAAGTCAAGTATCTACATAGCCAGAACTAAACAAGTTACTAAAATGTGGTTAACTCATTATATTAAGTAAATAAATTTATAAACTATGCTGACTGCTTAATAGCTTTTATCAGTAATATTAATGAAGTACGGGGGTCAATTAGCTCAAATATAAGGAGGTCTGCGGTATAAAAATATAGAATTTATAATAGAAAAAGTATTTTTACTGCTAAAAATAAACAACTTAACATAAAAGATAAACGTAGGATTAAAACACTAAAACTCCGTCTTGCTTTATCAGCATTTACTTTTAGAAAAAATAGACAAAATTTGCGTTGGATGCATATACTACTTTAGTTTACTTTTAAAGGATTGTGTAGAAAAATACAAAGTTAAGGTTACACATTAAATAATATCGGTGAGAAGTATAATTTGAACAGTAAGTATATTTATGTTCAGAGATTCAATTGTGCACAAGCAGATTAAAGATAACTCCTGCTAAAAAGTAAAACTTCATGGTGAATTATTACTTAGCCACACGCGGATCAGCTTTTAACTTTATTTTCATAAGTATTTGGCCATTGGCAAAAATACTTCTAAAAATTTTTAACCCTAAAGCAGAAAATTCTAGAAAAAGAAAGACAGGGTTATTCTAAGGACCTTAAATGCTATCCAAAGTTTTAACTGCTTCATTTTTTTAAAAAAAACAGAAAAGTATTGGGGTGTCAGTTAAAATCTTATCCTTTAAGTTGAATGTAGCATTTATAAGAATAGAATAATAAAAAGGATGAAGCAGATGTTTATAAACTATTTTACTACTACACTTAACAGGTAAAGATAACCAGTTTTGCAACTACGTGCTAGGTAGGAAAAATAAAGATTGTACGTGATCAAAAAAGTTTTCCAAGCACACTTTTACAAACAGAAAAAAAATTGTCATTCTCAGCTTCCAATCTTTCCGTAGCGGTCTCGTTATTGTGTTCTAGCTTAGTGCATTAGGCAGACATCGATAACATGTCTATATTATGTACTCTACGATTTAGATTACTGTTGGTGATCAGGGGAGAGCACAAACTTTCCCGTTATATAAAGCTCGGTTAGCTGTACGGCGAAAAACATAAGCCAAAAGGGGTTTCGGTAAAAAAGGGGTTTATAAATTTGACGAACAGGGTAAAACAAAAGATCTTTTGAATATGCCTAAAGAAACTTTATAAATCGCTTCTCTTTTATACCTTAATTAATTCTTGTTGTGGGTGCCCATTAGGGCGATAATATGGAACTGTACAATAGAAAAGGAAAGTAATAAAATTGTTTTCTTATTCATTATAGAACTTTACGAAGTAGCTTGGAAAAAAAAAGAGAAAGTTACTCTGACTGTGTAAGGTGAAAATGTAAAATAAGCTTTTAAAAAATAGAAAATCTAAAAAATACATATATTTATGTAGTAAAATTTGGGATTGGTAAATAAAAGTTAAGTACTTAATTTTGCATAAAAAATTACTTGAGGCCTTCTCAGTAAGATCACATTATATAAAATATAATTTTAATTAAATTAAATATTCACATAAATACCTCAAAAAGAAAGGATATAATAGTTATATCCTAGGTAGTTCCTTTTTTCTAAAAATAAAATCAAAAAAATTCCTGACTTTCCGCTTACGGTTCTATATGAATTATTATACCATTTATAGATGCAATATTAAGTAAAGCTTTAATAACGTGCCAGAAATTTACAATAGCTTTTTTGTGATGGAATGCGTGCTCTATTCTAAAGTCAAACTGTACGAGACGGCTGTCAAAGACTCTTCTACAAATTCTGAATTTTTATAGAAATAAACACTTCTAAAACATTTCCAATACAAGATTGTAGTCTTAAAGGATGGGGGCAAGCTTTTTGAATGACAAGGATTAATAAAAACTTGATAACCTGTCCTAGTTCCAGCGTCCAGGAATATGTGGGAATAATAAATATAATACTAAACAGAATAACTTTAGCATCGCAAGGGTTATAACAGCTAGACTTACTGCGTTTCGGAAGAAAAAGTGTATTTATCACTTTTAGCTCTCCTTCTTGGTCGCTAGTTCTATAGAATTTATGAGAGTTCGTTCTTTAAGGATTAGAATATATTAAGTAAAAGGAAAAGTTAACGCAGCCGTTCAATAGGAAGAAAAACCAAGGGTGGAGTTCAGGTATTCTGCAGGCAGGGTAGCCTTACTTAACGGGAAACGTATACAAGTTGGCCTTCATAGTAAAGGGCCCAAGAGTCTAAGGAATACTTTTTTCATCTTACGCCCTCATGTTCTATAAATGTGGTCAGAGGCTTTCAATTTTTTAAGCTCGCCCTTCTTATGATTTTTTTTTAAAAGATTAGAAAAATTTTTTACCTTACCATTTTCTCGAATGAAAGTATGTTTGTCACTTGGAGAGTTAGTAATTCCTTATAGGGTGAAGCAAACTCTTGTCCAAACTGCAAACCTCTTAAACGATATTCATTAACTCGGGTCATTGCCGGAGCTAACCCAAGCTTTCCTCATCACAACACCTAGTATCAGTATTCGCTTCAATAGAATAGAAATTATTTCTTTAGTTCTCCTTGTGTTATGAAGATAAAAGGGTTTAACTAAATATACTGCAGAAAAGAGCAATAATTTAACCTTTAAGAAATAGGAAACGGAATTTTTACGTTAATGCGGTGAAAAAAATGCAAATCTGCACGAGTGTCGAGAGAATGAGAACTCTTCTCGTATTAACATCCTACCCTTAACAGAAAAAAGCTGGAGTTGTTAAGTGAGCTTGGCTTTAAGTTATTAAATGAAACGGTACAAATTGATTATTAAAGATATTGCAATAGTCGTATTCACACAGAAAATAAAAGAAGTTAAAAATTTATTTATATACATCACATAGATTAATTAAATTATTTACATGGATAAAAATGTATTTCGACGTTAAGAAATATACTTTAACTATTTTCAGCGCAAAATATTGTTTTTCAATCCAATTCACATTTCTTGTTTAAAGTATTGTGTCTGTAACATCTAAAGTAGCTGACTTCTATTTCAACAAAACTAATGGGAAGGCAACCAAAGAATGGCAAAAAAATTTTACTTGTTTCTGCAATACTCCAAAGAATGCGTGTACATATACGTTATTTTACCACGTGCCCTTATTGCATGCTCATACTACTTGTCTAGCTATTTGGTTTATATTTGGCCCATATCCTGTATTTCTTCCCTGAAGGCTTAAACACTTTCCTCTACGAGGCAAGATATGATCGCATACCCCTTTTTCTTTGTTAAATAGTAATAATTATAAATTTTAATGTTGATATAATAGGTATTAATGCTAATTCTAATATTAATTAAAGTATAAGTGGCAGTGTTATCTATTAATTATTGTTTATTTTTTTAAACAGTAAATACTTATCAAGTGGAATTTTTTTTAAAGGAGGGTTTGCTTATGATCCTTTGAGTACTACTTTAAATATTATAATGAATATCGACTATAAAGTACTATTACCTTTAATAAAAAAAATAAATTAAATAAAATTAATACACTAACTAATGAGTGTTCATGCCCTAACTCTCTTGTATTCCGAATAAACTTCATAGCGTTAAGGAAAGGAATGTTTTTTTCAATTATGAGCTTTTATACGGAGTGGATGAATTTAAAGAGAATTTCTACTTTTCGCAGTTAAGCGAAGTACAGTTTAGTTCTTATTTAAAAGTACTTCTGCTCTAGTTTATTTATTAGATAAAGGAGGGTGACTTGCCATAAAATTATACAAAACTTCCGATATATTAAGGTCTAAATTTTATTAAATTTATATTTATCTTTTATGATAAAATCCTTTCAGGAGGAAGTAGTACATTTTAGTAAAAAATAAAAATTTTAAAGCTTCTAAGAATGATTAATTCTGGCCCTGCCGTTTATCTTACATTTTTTGTTCTGTCAAAGCTTTTGAGTGAGTTTATAAACCAATAAATTGTTAAACTTTAAACCTTTGAACCATTACTTTAACAGATGTTTCATTTGGAAGCCAAAAATCATTTATTAAATAGTCTTAATCTATTACTTTTCTCGGTTAACTTAGAAAATACTAAAAGCATAATTTTTAAGCTAACATTGCCGAAATATTTTTTAATAGTGTTAATCTCAACCTTTAGCTAAAAAATCATTAGAACTAGCAATCATATATTTCTGAACAATTATGTTTAATCTCATTTTTGATAAAGCTCAGCATATTAACAAAAACTCTGTTCAAGTGGCTATAAAAATATGTGTAAATTGAACATAAAATAAAAAATATATAAAGATACCCGCTTTCCATTGGAATTTTCAAGTTCTTCGTTTATGGAAAATCTCAATTTTTTTCTTAAACAAAACGCTTTTACCGTCTTAAAGGTAAGCAGCTATCTTTTTATTTACAAGTTTAAGAGTTACATAACACGAAGTACGGAGCAAAAGTTTTTAAATTAACAAAATGAACTTAAAAAGTTATCTCAGTTCTTACCGAACTTTAAAATTCCTAACTGCATAATCTTGAATTAGATTGATTACCAAAAACATTTTTAAGAAAATACCTAATCTATTTATTTTAAAAAATACTATTTATGGTATAATTTAGCTAAATATGGTTTTTTTAAAATCTACTTTTCTGTGGGGTTGATCTAGAAAATAAACTTACAAAATGCTATAAATAAATTTTTTATTTAAAGCTTTGATTCACTACTACTCATAATGGGTTAAAGTTAAAAATTTCAAGCTTTAAATTAAAAATTATAATCTGAAAGTCAGGAAAATTTTTATAGTACGATTATATTTTTAAACATAATTATTCATTAAGGAATGGTATTACCGTAAAAGAAGCACGATTGGCAGAAATCATAACTCTCTTAAGTTACTTTTTTATTTACCATACTTAAAAATAAAAAGTTATGTAAGATATAGTTTTCATCACTAATGCGTTATGTAAAAAAAAATTTACATAATAGTAATGGCAACATTTGCACTCTTAAGTAAAGCTTTTTTAATTAATAAAAATAAGACCAACTTTAATTAACACTTTATATAATGTACATAATCTATTCACTTAGTATCTAAAAAAATAACCAAAGTATTAAGATATTAGTACTTATACAGAGGGAAAAAAAGCATTAGTATTTTCTTCGTTAGCTCCTTGGTTACAACTAGAAAGTATTGGTTCTCAGTAAAACTCTTATAGTAATACTATTTATTAACCTTGTGAAATCAAACTATGTTCCTGGTAAGAATTTTTTAGGGTTAAATTAAGAATTATGAGAAAATACAAAACAGTTAACCCCCCAAGTAATTATAATATGCCCTTACAGGTCCATGCCCTGAAGAAGAAGAGTTTATTCTAAACAGACGAAAATTTGTTATTAAAATAAGTACAATGATTGTTGTCGAGTAAAATTTTGTCATAAAAGCACAGTTCTTTAATTTTAAGGTTATTTAATAACTTATAAACATTTTTTCAAAGAGACCCCACCCTGCCAAAGCAACGATGCTCTGGAGAAATCGGGTTCACAGACTACTAAAAAAGCAATAGCATGCGACGTTGATGCTTGCTATGATAAAAATAATAAATCGCGTACGGTAAAAATAGTAATTTCAGCTGATGAGACTACTAAATGCGAAGGTGTTTAAAAAAAAAAGAACTATTAAACTTTAAAGATATTGTTAAATCCAAGTAGTTTTATATGACTAAAATTTATTTTGGTTTTCTTATTTAAAAAAAAAGTTCTTTATTTTCAAGGTAACTTAATAACTGATACACATTCTTTTCTTACTAGAAGAGGCCCCACAGGACCAAGGCAACGATGCTCAGGAGAATTCGGTTCTACAGCCTATTAAAAAGACAAAAGCATGTAATGTCAACGCCCGCTACGATAAAAATCATGATACGCCTGGGTTAAAAAAAGATTTTTTACCAGCTGATGCGCGCGAAGGTCAAAATAAAACGAAAGGTCTCTTAAACGTTATAGATATTGTTAACCCAGTTCTTGACTTAAATTTAGTTTCCCTTTTTTTTGGCACCCATTTATGTAACTATAATATTTGTATAATATTGGGTACAAATTTTTTTTTATTAGCCAAACTTCACATATCTGATATATGCAAAAAGAGAGTTGCAATCAACTTTTTACTTTACTTTCTTCCTTAATAAATTAATAAGTATACCTAAATTTACGTAAGATTTACAGCACTCAATGAAGATAATATATCATATCTTCTTAAAGGTTTCGATACTAAAGTGATAAATTATTTTTAACTCCTAACGTTATTAAGTGTGTTTAGAGAAGTCAAATCTAAAACATATTCTATTTTTAGAAATCGTTAGGAAGTCTAGACCCAACGAGGAAGATGTAACCAAAAGGTTTGCAGTTATTATATTGTTTCTGTTAACTTCGGAACTTTTATTAATTTTTGACAGAGGCTTTATGCAGAGGGATGGTAATAAATAAATTTATTCTGCATTCTGTAAAGTTTTTTTATAACATGATATCGGTATTAAATTGAGTAAATTTTGTGTTAAGAAACTGAGAGACCTAATAATTTTAAATTAAAAAATTTTCTTGTTTTATTGTTTTTAAGTAAATTATTAACTGCTTCAACCTTAGAAGAGTTTGATTCAAATGACTTACCAGAAAACAAATTATGGCAGGTACTTAAAAGAATTAAAGAAAATAAAGTTGCTTCTATTTTCAGGTTTCTTGGACAAACACTTTAACTGCAAAATTGCTACATTATTATCTCATTAATTTCCAGATATAGTAATTCTTATATAGAGAATGCTCACTCGAATATATACCAATGGAAGGACCTACTAAATGCCATCTTAATCATGTTTAAGATGAGTAAACACAAACTCTGGGATGGTGCCTAATAGCGATTATTATTATTATTATTATTATTAATTATTATTATTATTATTATTATTATTATTATTATTATTATTATTATTATTATTATTATTATTATTATTATTATTATTATTATTATTATTACTATGATTATGATTATTCAATGAGTATTTATTGTACACAGGCGATGATAACATTGAATACGGCTTAGTTCACATCGCTGCTTTTCTTGCGCAAGCCATGGAAGAGGGGATTAAAGCAAATACTTGTGAGGAACTCAATGCTGGGCATCCACATGAAGTTCAAAAGAGTACTAAATCTTGTTATTATTTAGTGAGCAAAAAATTAAATTAATTTTGAATGAACTTTTTAGATAAAACTGTATATTCGGCCTCAGCTGCTTGTGGTCAGGGTAACGAATTATATGAAAATAGGGGATGTTCCGAAGAAGACGGTAAGTTTTTTTTGGATCCCAATGACCAGCTACGATGTTTATTTAATTTTAGAAGAGGCATACATGGCGTGCAATGTCAATCCTGATATGATACTAAGAGCAAAGGTTTTATCTAACTGGGATGATGCACCTCCCGGATTTTTCTGTGCGCCCCGCAAATATTTGCCACTTGCGCCGAGATGGGTTGTACATGGACTTACATGCAGTACTTTTTTTTTATATAAAGTTATAATAATTTATAAATTTAACTGAGCTCCGTAATTTTTTGTTTCAGATTCATCTTCGACTTCGATTGATAATATAACTGAGTATATCTCATACGTGAAAAAGGAGGGACGATGTAGAGACTACAAGCAAATTAATTCAGCAGGCTGGTCGTACGCCGGTGCAATTTTACTTTCGCAAGCATTACGACCTTATACCACGCATAATACTAAATAAAATTTATTTGAGATTGTAATGAAAGGCGCTGCCCTGGTCCCACAGGAAGGGTCCACGTTCAAGGATGTTGCTGGTGGGGAAGAGGTAATTCTTATCAGCGGTTCTTTTAAAAATGCTACAGTAATTTTTACAATAACTACTTTTAAAGGCGTTTTACTAACAAGCGGAGTTTGCACACTGGGAAAATTAAATACTTATTTAAGAGAAATTCCTGAGTTGACCCCGCCAGTAACTAATTTTCCATTGATCTATTTCATTTTTTTTTATAGTGACGCTGATTTTTTCTTAAGGAAAATTTATGTTTAAACCCCAGTGCGGTTTGCGATAACCGTTATCCGTATTTGAAGTGGATTTTGGGTCTCTTCGACTACGTTTCTAACGTTCAAGATTACGCAGGAGGTAAGTACCATCTGCTTTCCTACTTTAGGGAAAAAGTAAGAATGGTCGTTATAGGTGACTGGGAATACAAAACTGCGCTTAAAAATTGGGTTAATAATGGAAAAAGTAGAAATGACCCCAAGTTCATCGATATTGCTTCAAAAGTTTTCAAAAGCGGTACGTGCTTTTGCGAATTTATGAAAATTATTGGGTTATAGAACTTTGTTATCGTTTCAAGGATCCCCCGCGGGAATTGCTAATGAGGCCAGTCAACGTGTAAATAACTTTTTCGAAGTGCTCAAAATATTTGGCCAATATAAAGAGGGGGAATAAAAAAGAAATTTGAAAGACACAAAATAAAGCAACTTCTTTTTTAAATAATATTGAGAAATCTTAAAAATTTTATAATTTTTCGGTAGAGAAACAACTGTATTTTGTTGTGTAAAGCTATTACAGTTTTTCATAAGGCCAACTGATCACCAGCCATAATATATTTAATTATACAGTTCTACATAATTATTTTTATTGATAATAAACCTATATAAGTTGTTAGGATCTTTAATAAACTTTTATTTAAAAAATTAGTATAAAGGAAAACGGAAAATAATAGATTACCGTTTAATTATGTAAAATCATTTATTAAACTTTAGATTTAAGATATGGTAAATAGAAAAACGAAAATTAATGTTATAAAGTAAATATAAGAATGTACAGTTATTAATTAATGAACTTTTACAAAAAGTACTATATACAAAACAAAAAATATTAAATTTCAGAATAAGCATAAGAATATAACACTATTTAATAAATTTTTGCTTGAAGAAAAATGATAAATAACCATTACAAAAAACTTTTAAGCTTGTAAAACTTTTCAAAAAATTTTTTAAAAAATTAATACTTAAAAAAAACGAAATGTAATAATTAAAGGTTATATAAAGAATGTAAAACTATTTGATAAACTCATATATAAGAATAATATAAAGAAAAATGAAATATAATAAATTATTAAACATGAGAAAGTAAAACATTTTAAGAAACTTTTATATTATAGTAAATAAGCAAGTCAGATAAGATAAGATATAGAAGTTAAACCCCCTTAAAAATATTTTTAATTTGATTTATTAAAGGAATACGCTGAGGTATAAGGAGGAAGCCTCATTTCTCTATCATATATATCTTGTCTAACAAATTTATATAGAGTTATATATCCACCTTAAGTATACATTTAAATTTACGCTTACTATTGCAAATCCCTGTGAATTTGCCTTTTGTAGGAATAACATTAAAAATGTTAAATGCTATTTGGGCCAAATAGAGCGATCCTCTAGGATTGATGTCTATCAGAGACAAAATCCCGTTTTTTTAAGCGCTTCTCAGGCGAAAGAGTGCGACGGTCCTGACGACATTATACAAGATGCTAAAACAAATGCTATTGGTTGCTGAAAGAATCTCTACCGGCTGTTCAATCGTTCAGTCGGTTGACTAGGAGCATTTACGTTGGGTAAGTACAAGAGCAGTTACGGCAGACCATATAAAGCTGGTCGATGTTTACGTGAAACACAACCTTCAATTTTGATTAGCAGGGGCTTTTTGCTAACCAACAATCTCTTTAAGCGATTGAGTGAACAACCCTGGCCTTTTATTTTTAGTAAAGTCACTGGAACTGTTTTTATAAACCTCGCGAATGAGTTTGTTATGGCAAGAAGGCCTTCTATTAAAGCTGCACGCCATAATGACCAAATCTAACTGGCTTGAAATGTTCATACCGTGCTTAAGCGGCCAAGTTAAGCCTACTCGCAGAGGGAATTTCGCTTAGCTCCTTTCTCACCGCTTTTATTCATACTATTTACTAACTTCGTGCCTACAACCTTTGAGCACTTCCTGTAACAAAAACTTAGTTTGTAATTGCAGGCTCTAAACCTCTTAGAGAGCTCAAGCATTTTAATTTTTGTTTCTTTTATTTTTTTTATTTTGTTTGCTTCTTTTAAGGTAGATAAAGCTTTTTAGTATTTTAATAAATCTTTATTATAAGTTATAATAACAGTGCTGGAAATCTTCAACCTTAATACTGGCTTTGAATAACAAAGAGCCATATTCTGTTCTTATTGTATACTTAACTCCTAGTAGATTCTCCTATTATACGCTTACCGTTCTTTACGTACCTTTCAGTATACAGTTTGTTTTATAAATTTTTTATAGAATTTTGTAAAAAGTACTTTATTAAAGCTAACATTTAAATTTTTAAATTTTTTGTAGAAAATTATAATATAAATAATTTGAATCAAAAGAAATATTTTTTTTAATTTTTTATAGAAATTAGTAAATGTTAGTAAATGAGATTTTCTCTCAAGTCGATTAAATTTTAATTTAAATTTTTTTGTAATTTGTTTTAAATAAAGAAATTAAATTTTTAAAAAAAGAGAACTACCTTAAACGAGTATTTATATACCGCCTTAAAGTATATAAAGAAACTCTTTTTTAAAAATTTGTTAAAGAAATCAAAGAAATATATTTAAATTTTTTTTTATAAAGTAAATTAATTATTATCAATAAAGATTTTGAATAAAAAAAATTATCAATCAAGTTTTTATTGTAAAAGTAAATAAATTGTCTTTCAAGATTTTAATTATCAAGTAAATTTACGATCTTTAAAGTTTTTTTTTATAAATAAATTAAGTTAATTAACAGTTAAGTTTTTTTTTAAGGTACCAAAAATTTATTGTATAAAGTAAATTAAAAACATAATCTTAAGATTTTGTTTTAAAGTAATTTAAAAATTATCTTTAAAGGTTTTTTTAAAAGCACTCACACAAATATTTTATTTTCAAAATATTTTACACCGAAGGTAAAATAATTATCTTTTATAATTTTTATCTTAAAAAAAATAAAACAAGTAATATTTGAATTTTTTTAACAGTACAAAAAAATATTGTTATTCAAGATATTGTCTTGAAATAAATTAGTTTTCCTTTAAGATTATTTTAAAAAAAAATTAAACAATCAAATTTTTTTTTAAAGAAATCAATAATTTAGAAAATATTATTGTAAACAAAAAATGTCGTTTAATTTACAGTAAATTAAAAACATTATTTTTTTAATTTTTTTTTAAGTTATTGAAAACAAAAAATATGGTCGCCTAAATATATAGATTTATGAAAATGTTGCATTTGATTGTTTTTTTAAAAAAATATTCTTAAAAATTAGAAAAGGTTAAATATTTTTTTTAAAGCCAAAAAAATAGTTTAGATCTTAATATTTAGTTGTTTTTAGTGGTCTTTCCTTTTCAAGATTTATCTTATGAACTTAAATTCACTTTTCGGTAGTTTACTACTAAAAAAAGTCCTTAAATATTTTTTTAAAAAGTAAAAAAAAAAAAAAAGAAAATATTTAAGCCTACTTTCGCTAAAAAGTTTTTGTTTCTATTTCTTTTTTTTACACATTTGTTACTTTTTTTTTAATGAGTACAGCACAAAATTTCAATTGAAAAAAAAAAGGATTTTCTAGAGCCGACAGAATTTAAGATTTACAGTACTCATCTTTACTATAGTATTGTATCATTTTTGTAGTGTTACAAATAAAAAGGTTTTCTTGAAGAAAACTTTTATTTTTATTTAGTAATAAAATCGAAAATGAAAAGTCGACAAATTCAACTGTACTTAGTGATCTTTCTATTAAAAAAAAGTTCCTATCTTTATATTATCCTTTAGTAGTGTTACAATTAAACAAGATTTTATGGATACTTATAATATAAAAGGAAGAAATAATATTTCGAAGCTGACAAAATTCAAAATTTGCAAGACCTTTATCTATATATAAGTACCATTTTTGGGGTGTTACAAATAAAAAAATTTTTTTTTAAAAGGAAACTTCTTTAATAATATGATAAATACATTTTAAAAAAAGTCGGCAAAATAAATGTTTAACTGCTTTTAGTGATGCTTTACTAAAGAAAGCTTTATTTTTAATTGGGTTTTTATCTTTTTAAAGTTTTTCAATATATAGAATTCTTAGAAAAAAAAATTTTTTTTTAATAAAAAAAAAAAAAAAAATGGAATTTTTAAAGTCGACATTAAAGATTTTTAAAACGCTTCTTTACTAAAACTTTCTATCACTTTGAAGTGTTCCAAATGAAAATTTTTTTAAAAAAAACTTTCGTTTTTTGCATCATTTTTAAAGTCGACCAAAATCTAGATTAAGTTTAGGTAAATATAAGGTTTTTATAAGAAAACAATCCATCTTTTTGTGGTGTTTACAGTTAAAAAAAATTGGATTTTTAGAGTCGACCAAAAATATTAGATTTTCAATTTTTTTTTCTAATTGGCAATTAGTGGCCTTTTTACTAAACAAAAATATTACCAAAATTTCAGAATCATCCTTTTGTGGTATTATAGGTAAAAAAAATTAATTATAAATAAATAAAAAAATTTTAAACGGCCAAAAAATTTTACTGCATAATATTTTGTCCCTACAAATTAAAAAAGTGTGCATATAATTAACTTACAACCCAAAAAAATTATAGCAAAAAAACTTATTTAGTAGATAAATATTTTAAAAACTGTTAAAAAAGCTATAAACAAAAAACCAAAACCTCTTTACTAATCGTGCATACTTTGGAATTAACATCTCTAACAGCGTTTTACAATTTTTTTTTTATTTATAAATCCTTTTTAATAAATAAGATTACTTTTTTTCAGTTTAGCGCAAGTTATAAGAAAACCATAACTGAAAAAAACTTTTTATAAAACCCTTAAAAAACTTTTCGTCTCGAGAAATTCCGTTTAGCTAAACTTTCCCAGAGTAGCGGAGCTTGCCTCCCGTTGACAAAAGTTTCTAGGATTTATATAATTTTTTTTAACTTTATTAGAAATAAAAAATATTATTATTAACCTTCACATTGTTTTATAAAGTTTACTAAAAATATTGTTGGGCACTTTCTATAATTCACTCGAGAGTATACAATTTATAAATTTTTTTAAAGAAAAGAGTAATAAATTATCTTTGTTGTTTAATATATTCTAAAATTTATTTTTTTAAAAAATTGTTATTGTTAACTTTATTATTTATGTATATAAAGTTTATTATATTATTAAAAAGTTCCGTTATTATTCAAGAGTTTACCATTTCTAATTTTTATTAGAAAAGAGTAATAAAGTTTCTCTTTTCTATTAATATAATCTAATTTTTTATTTTATTTTATATCAATACTACCAAATTTATAAAGATTTATTATTTTTGTTGTTATTATTATTTAGTGTTGTTTTCATAGCTTTTATAAGTAAACAATTAAAATTACTTCATATAAAAAATAAAATATTTCATTTATTATTATTATCTAGTTTTACTTTTATATTTTATTACAAAGAGTTTATCATCTTTATATTTTTTTAACTTTCTAAAACAAATAAATCCAATATATATTTTCTTATTACATGATATTTTATTTTTTTATATATTATTTGGTGCTGAACTAATAATTAATTTATAAAAAAAAAAAAATCAATAAAGTTCCGTACGTCATGGTTAATGCTCCTGATTCAAAGTTGGTGTGTGTTTTTTTTTTGCAAACAATCTTTGAATATTTTTTTATTTTACTTCAAAGATTATTATATTTCTACTCCACTTCTCCAGGAAAACCTAATATCAAACATCTTATTTCGTTTTACACCTAAAAGTGTTTTTAAACGTTCTTGAGTAACTAACTTCTTAAAACTTTTAATTTTTTTTTTTTTTTAAATGTATTAAAAAAACAGCAGGCCTTCAGCGAAGGCGACTCAGAAGGTGACAGTAATTTTTTATATTTTTATTTATAAGTGATATTATAGACACACATATATATACACGTAGAGGTTTGCAAATCTTTATCAAGTAAAACATTCACAACTGATATTAATAACTTTAATTAAGAAAATCTTATATAACAATTTTTAAATTTATACGATTAGGAAAAAAAGACCTTTAAGTTCTCCAATAGAAGGTGATTTTGTTTAATAGTTTCTTGCGTTCTTTGGGACTAGAAGTGGTCAAGTTATTAAATTTCATTTGAATTTTTGTTTTTTTAATAATACACTTATAGAAAAGTTTGGCTGAGAAAATTAGTTCAGGGAAAACTTTGTTAGTGAAGTACAATCAAAAAAGAATTTTAATCACTTAAGTATATTATTTATAAAATTGATTATCTATAAATTTTATTTTTTAAATTTTTCAAATTAGTAAATTTATTAGAAAATGTATTTCATAAAAAGTTATTTATAATTAAGTAGAATATATTTTTTTAAAACACCTTATATAAGAATATTATGAACTCGTAAGTAAATTAAATATTCTCTATAAACCTAATTTTAATTATTTATATAATATATTTTTTTAAGTTCCGTAAAAAAAATTTCTAATCTTTTAAATAATTTGATTTTTATACTTAAAAATTAATTTTTTTTAAGTAGAAAATATTTTTGTTAAATCCATAAAAAAAATTATTTAATCTCGTTAGTAAATTTATTATTTACTAAAAAAAAAATTACTGAATAGAAAAATTTTGGTAGTATAATTGAGAAAGTCTTAAATATTCGCGATTAACTATTTTTTAAATTAAAAAAATTAGTTTTTACGGAGAAAATTTTTTTTAAAGAATTAGTAAACTTTAAAGTAATCATATCATTCTCGTAATTAGATTTTTGTTATATTTATTATTTATTAGAAATTTTTTTTTTTAATTTAATAATATCTTTGTTAGTCATTTAAATAATAAAAAGGAAACTTTTCAAAATCGTAATCAATTTTGTTTTTATCTTAATTATAAAAATATAAATTTCAATGGAATAAAATAATTATAGTAATAAAACTGAATAGGACAACGCCTTTAAGATTTTACTAAACAAATTTGAAGAAAATAAATCTTATAATTTTTATATTCTGTTGTTTTGTTTTTTTTATAAATTCTAATAAAAAGAAATTAATGCAATTGTATTTGTTTTTTTTTATAATATTTTTCAAGTCTTTTAAGCGTTTAGCGTCAATATTGAAACAGTCAACATCCAACTGGAAATAAATTTGAATTTCTTTTTCTGATTTTGAGAGTACTGAAAAGTTGCCGTTAGGGAATGTCGTAATTTAAATTTTGCTTAAAAAAATGAAAAAATGTTTTTCATTTCAAAAAAATTTAAGAGGAAATAAATCATTTCTCAGTTGTTATGAAAAAAATAAGCATAAAGCCAATTAATAAATAAATAAAACACCAATTAATAAAAAAATAAAGCACTAACAATTTTATATTTTGTTTGAAAACTTTAAGTAGTTTGTAATATTAATAAATCGTAATTTTTATTAACAAATAATCAACTATTAAAAAACCATCAATCAATAAAAAAAATAAAGTTTTTATTAAAAAATAAACTATAAAAATTTCATTTAAAAAAAATTATCATGAAATAAAAATAAATCTATAAAACTTTTATTAACAAATTTATTCAGTTAATATTATTAAAAAAATTTTAAGGGTTAAAAATTTGCATTAAGTAAAATGTGATAATTTTTTTAGTAATACTTAACGGAAAGTAAATTAAAAAAAAGTTTCTATAAACTTTTTAAAATTTAAATTGAACTATAAGAAATTATTTATTTGAAACTTTTTATATTACAAAAATTAATAAAATAAATTTATATAATTAAAGTTGATTAAAGTAAATTTTAACTTTAAAAAAAATGAAGTAAAATATTTTTAAACTTTTATTAATTTATTTTATTAAAAAATTATTTAGAAATAAAATTTATTCAAAAAAATAAATTTATACGTTGTAATAAATTTTTCTAATTATAATTAGAAAATTTAGAAAATTTATAAACTTCTTTTATATAATATAAATAATTTACAATTATTAAAACTTTTTTATAAATAATTTTTATAATAAAAGTTGATTAAATGAAAATTTGTATTATGAATATGCAATAATTATTACGAAAAAAAATTTTTATGAACTTTTTAACTTTTTTTTAAGAAAATATTTGTAAGGTTGAAATTAAAATTTGCATTAAAAATAATTGTTATAAATTTATGATAATAAGCATTACGAGAAACATTTTTAAAGGTTATATAAATTTTTTTGTATCTAAAATATAGAAATCTATAAAGCTGAATAAAAATTTGCTTAAAAAAAATTGTAATAAAATTTATAATAATAATTCATAACGAAAGAAAATTTTATAAACTTTTTTTTTGGTATAACAATTAGAAATTAAATATTTAGAACTTCTTTAATATATAAGAAAATAAAATAAATTCATATAATGAAATTGATAGAAATTTGCAAATTAAAAAATCTGTATTATAATTTTATTAATTACTAATAACGAAAATTAACTTTAAATAAAGTTTATATACACTTTTTATATATAAAATTATATCATAGATAATTTGTTATTAAAAATTTTTTTTATGCATAAAAAATATTTTTTTAAAAATTTTGTAGCAATAAGAATAATAAAGAAAAGTAAATATGGGAAAAGTTTTAATAATAAAAATTATAAAAGTTATTATTATGTTAAAGTTATAAAAAAATAATTAATAATTTAGTTAATTAAAAATTTTTTTAAATTGTAATTGAGAAAAGTAAACTCGAAATTATTTATAAACTTTTTAAAAAAAAATTTAAAAATCTTAATTTATTAATATATTTTTAGATTGTAAAATTGTGTTTTTCCTTAAAAAAAAATTTAAAAATTTTGGATCACTTTTTCAATCTATAAAAAATGAAAAACTCAACTGCTTGTTTCCTCCAAAACGCTTTTTAATAAACTTTTTGTATATAGTTATTATTATTTACGCTTAAGAAGGTTTTGAAACTATAATTATTGTTATTAGTATTTACTTAATAATCAATTTTTTTTTGAAAAATTCATCTGGATTTTACTTAAAAATTACTTAAAACTATATTAATTATTATTAATATTATTCACATTTCAAAACTTGTATAAATTCTACTTTAAAATTATTTAGAACTGAAATTATTATTATTGTTATTTACTCTGTGATTATTTGAAACGAATTATAATATATAACAACTTTATATTAAATTTATTATAAAATTTAATAGAAAATGTAAAATGAAATTCTTATATTTACTTTAATTAAAAAAAGGATTATAAATTTTTATAATATTTATATTTAATTTATATAAAAATAATAATAATACAAAAAACGAATGAAAAATTTTCAAGTTTATTAGATTTTACTTAAAATTTTATTAAAACGAAATTTTTTGTTATAAAATAAATTTTAACTTAAAGAAATAAAAATTTTATAAAATTTTATTTGGAATTGTTAAAACGAAATATTAAATTTAAAATAATTATTCGAATATAATTTTTTTTTAAAATTTGTATAAAATTTGTTTTACATTTATTATAACCAATTAAAAATTTAAAAACTTTTATACAATTTACTTTGAAATTAATAGAACGAATAAAACTTACCAAACTTTATTATTAAATTTATTATAACTTGACGTATTGATAACTATATTATGTTCTCTTTAAATTTTATATAAATATAATTTTTTACAACCAAGAAGTTTTTATAAAATTTTATAAACTATCAGTTGAAATAATTAAAGAATATTTGAAGCTTTTATAAAATTTATAATACCAAAAAAAAATTTAAACTTTTTTGTAAGTTTATAATTATCAAAAAACGAATTTAAAATTAATAAAATTTGTTATTAAAATTTATTGCAAAATTAATTGTAACAAAAAATTAAAAAAACTTTTTTATTTAGTACTTAAAAATTAATAAATATTTATTATTAAGTTTATTATAAATTTATTATAACAAATAGAAAAAATAATTAAAAAGTTATAAAATTTACTTAAAAATTAATTGAAAAATTTATTTTACATTAAAAATTCACAAACTTTTTATTAAATTTACTTTAAAATTAATTTAAACGAATCAGAAGGTTTTTTATTTTTTAATGAAAATTTTGAAGAAACTTAAAATTTACTTGAAAATTCTAAATTTTTCACATCAAATTTACGTTAAAAATGTTTAAACTTTTCATTAAATTCACTTCCTAATTAACTTAACTTAAAAAAATCAGACATTTTGAAAATTTAATTATAAAAACTAATGAAAATCTTCAACGCCAATCCGAAATTATCCTTTTAAATTTTACTGAAAGTTTAGAAAATAATTTTATTGTTTATGGCGTGCGAAGTTTTTGGTTTTTATAATATTTAATAGAAGTCTTAAAAGCAAATATATTTTTAATTATTTTTTATTATTGTTTTATTTTTTTAGGAATATTTTAATAAACTCTATAATTATTTCCTATTCATTATTTTTTTATTTTATTTAGAAAATTGTAAAAAACTTTTTTTTAATAATTTTTTTGTAATCACTTTATTTCTTTATTAAGATTATTATAATTATTATTGTTTTTTACTTATTGCTATGTTGAGTACTTTTTTAAAACATTTTTAATAATTTTTTTTTACTTAATATTTTTATTTATAATAATTTTTAAACTTTTATATTAAACTTTTTTTACTTATTGTTGATACATAAAACTTATACTTCTTTATGTTTATTACTATAATTTTCAATATTTATTATTCTTATTAGTAACTCTTTAATATTTTTTTAATAATTATTAAACTTTTAATAAAAACGGGCGACTTTTTTTTATAATAGTCGTATTATTTAGCAGTAGATAATATTTTTATTTATATTTATTATATTAGAAAAGTTTTGAAATATTTTTTATATTTTATTTTTCTTTTATGTATATAAGTTTTATACTATTTTCTTATGAAAAAGTATAACTTTTTCATTTTTTTATTTTCTTTTAAAATATTAATTTGAAATATTAAACTTTATTATATATTATATTCTATTTTTTTTTTTAAAATAACACATATTAAAAGTTTTTTTTACGAGTAATATTATTTGTATAAATTTTTTTTCTTTAGTATTTTTTTTAAGTAAATTTTATTTTTATATATTTTAAATAATTTTCTTTAATAAAGAAATATATAATACCTTTTTTTCCTTTTATAATATTTTTTTATAAAAAGTTAATATTAAGTTTTTGTAATATTTTATATTACTTTAAATTATTTTTCATATAAATTTTATTATATTTAATTTTATTAATATTTTGCTTAATTAGAAAAAAAATAAAACAAATTCCTTATTATTTAATTTTCTTTTATATTATTACATATAAATTTCATATTTTTTATATAAAAATATAAAAGAAATTTATAACTTAAAAACTATTTTCTATTTCTTTTTTTATAATTTATTTTTCTCGAATAATTTTATTTATATTTTATTAAATATTTTTTTACAAAAGAAAATGATTTTTTTTTTCTATAAAATTATTATTTATATAATTTTTTAATAATAAAATATAAAACAAAATTTATAATTATGAAAAAACTTATTACAAAATAACTGTTTCTTTTTCTTCTTAACTTTTCTATTAGAATTTTACTTTATTAATAATTTTTCTTTCACTTTTATTGTATTATTTTTGATTTATTTTTATAAAAAAAAAATTATAAAAAAGGAAAGTGAAGAGCAATTTTTTTCCTGAGCACGTTGAATGCTCTAAAAAGAAGTTTAAGAAAAGTATTAAACAAGAAGAATGAAAATAATAATATTCAAGTTATTATTGTTATTATTTATTATAAATTTTCAATACTTCTTTAAAGATCAAAGTTTTATATAATATTGAACTTTTTTTTTCTACTTTTTATAGTAAAAAACTTTTTAAAAATAATTTTTTCTTAACAAACTACAGGAAATTGTCGAGCTCTACGCATTTTGTTATGCTAAAGACGTTCGACTGCAATGGACCACCCGTTTCTCCGTCGAGCGCACCTCCAACGACGCGGTAAAGGAAAAGGCTGCCAATATCGCTTATTTCTTGGTTCGTGTAACCAATCAAAATTATTTATGACTTTTTTTTCTTATTTTTTAATGAATTCTAAAATTTATTGTTTTTTTTTAATTTTTTATTATTTGCCCTTGAAAAAATATACAGATAATTTTTATAATATGAAATTTTTTTTAAATTTTGTTAAACATAAAATTCTATTTATATTATTAATTAATAATATAATATAAATGAACGCATTAAACTTTTTTATAAAAAGTTATTATTGCTATAGTATTTTATTAAAATTTCATATGTAATATATATATTTTGTATTAGTAATATAAAATGAACTAAGCTACTCACCATCTTTGTTTAACGGCGTTAGCCAATGGAGGACTTTTCGTAGTTATTAAGTTTATTATTAATATAATTATGCTGGAAAAACCAGTTTAAGTAATCAAAGCAACCAATAAGATTAATATAATACGGAGCAGTTGGCCAATCGGAGAAGTAATAATGAATGAAAATTTACATATAATCAATAAATTGTTAACAATCGAAAATTAATAATAGTATTGTCAGTTAACTATTACTATCAAAAGTTTATTAAGAAAGTAGCAATAAAGGTATTATTTATAATTTCACGTTCAATAGTACATAATGAAAGCTAAAATAGCTATGTAATATTATATATATATATATATATATTATACGTATTAAAGAAAATTAAATTAAATTAAAAGTTTAAACAGAAGAAAAGTTTTTAGTATAAACAACCGATTTAGAATAATTGAAAAAACAAATTCTAAAATAAAAAATATACGGAAACTTTATTAAATGAATAAATTTCTAATGCAACCAATAAAGTGAAAAATAATTTATTGACGCGTTGATTGGAAAACAGACCAAAAAAGATATTAAGATTAATGTTTAAAAATAATAAATGTTTATTATTTATAATTAATATTTTATATCTCAATAAAAGTAACCAATAAGAAATATAATAAATTAATAATTATATTGTTTTCTCTTTTTCATGTTTATGTTAAAATCGTTATAGAAAAGATTTTATTTATAATTAAAAAGTTTCTAGTAACTTTTTATTTTGTACATCTATAATAAATTTTTATTAATTATTATTATTGTATCATTATTATTATAATTATTATTATATATGAGTAGAAATTTTTGATTTAAAAAATTCGCTAAATTTTTTCTATTGACGTTTTATTATTATTTTGCATATTTTTTTAATACTAATAAAAAGTATATTTTTTAAAATCCAGAGAAAGTTGCTTTATATATTTTTATTTTCTATATATTTTCATATTTATTTATCTTTGGTTATAATTTTTGGACATTTTAATTATTACAGTAAATAAAAGTTAATATTAGTATAATACTATTTATTTACTAGTGCTTATTATATAAAAAAGTTTCTACTATTTTTGTATTCATTTTATTATTATTATTATCATTATATAATTCAGTACTATTATCTTTATGTCTACATATTTATTTAATATTTTTATGAATATTTTTTATAAATAGGTATAAATTTTATCGCTTTTATATTTTTGCTATTTATTTTTGTAAATATTATATAATGCTATTAAAAATATTTTACGTACTACTATTATTATATTTGTCTTTTTTTCAGCTTTCCAAAACTTCCTGGCGTGATTCTTTTTTTTTCTTAACGAAGTTTACCGCTTTGCTCCTCAATTGATTCCCTTTCGTTTAACGGTAGACTCGATTACCTGTACATTATTATTATTATTATTGTTATTGTTACTGTTATTATTATTATTACTATTATTATTATTATTGTTACTGTTATTATTATTATTACTATTATTATTATTATTTAAAAAATTAGTTAAAGTTTAAAAAAAAAAAGTTAAGTCAAACAACTCAAGAAATATATAAACCAAAAATAATTATAATAAGTTTAATGAGAAAAGTTTAAATATATAAGTAAAATATTGAGAAAGTTTTATAATAAAAAGAAAAAGTTAAACTTTTTATAACTAAAATTATAATAATAAATATTATGAGAAAAATTTTATAGAAAAAAAATATTAAAAAAGTAGGAAAGTATAAACATAACAGAAAACGAAAAAGTTTTATAGTAAAAAGAAAAAATTAAATTTTTTATAACTAAAAATAATAACATTAATTATTTTTAGAAAAGTTTTATAGAAAGAAAATATTAAGATAGTATGATTTATTAATAATAAAAAAGTATTAGAAAAATAAGCATAAAAGCTATAAAAAAGTTAAACATACAATAAAACTATTTTACTATTTACTTTTTAATTTCTTTATTTGTTATTAATATTTTGATATATAAACTTATTTAGTTTATTATTTTTCTTAAAAAAGTTTGCAGGAAGAACACCTTCCGAAAAGTATAAAAAACATTTACAAAAGCTTTTGTATCATATAAAAGTAAACCTGATAAACGAAGAGTGCCACTTATAATTATTATAACTATTATTAATTACTATTATTATTTATTATTATTATTACTATTATTACTTTAGAGCTCGAAGGTGGAGTTGTAAGAATTGTGCACAAACTCGTTATTGAATCGAGCGTTTCAGCAAAAGCGATTTATTTCATTAAAACAATTGAGAAATTTTAATATTTAGTTTCATTGGTTCCTTTTTAACCATTAGGGTTAATAGTAAAGCATAACTATTTTTTGTCATTTTAATTTTCTTTAATAAAAATTTTAATATTTTATTTATTTATCTACAAATTTTTCTTTATTGTTAAATTTAATTTATCTCGAGTGATGGCAAATTTAGAAAATAATTATTGGTCATTCCTAATCTTTTCAATCCTGATTGGTTCAACCAAGTGCTACCTTTTATAATTAAAGAAATTCACAAAAATTAGTCTCGAGTTCAATAGTAATTTTTTTCTAATATGGATTCATCTTATAAAAAGCGTAAATTTATATATACACTTAAGGTAGGAATACTACATAAACATATTAGAAAATATATATGTATACATAATTAACCTTCTTTACCGCAACACGTAACCTCATGTAAAAAAGAGAGAAGGAAATTGCTATTTCTATTAATACGAAACTGACACGCTCAATTAATAAATGCTGGTGCCAAAAATAGTATTAACAATATTACAGACCGCTCAGTAATATCTACAACGCTAGCGGCGAAATGCTATTAAAGGTGAGCCAGTGGCGCAGCCCACCGTTTCCCACGTATCAATTGCTTGAATGATAAGTAAAGGATATTTATAGGTGGTTGTTAGGTCGACCTCATTACGCAATTTGCGACTTATGTTGTAATTGTCAACGGTAAGAATGTTGGAATTGCTACAGCAATAACGTGAATGTTGCGTTGTTAAGCGAAGCGCGACTGTTGTTCTGCAATTACAGTGCAACTATTTAAAACTTATTAAAGGGAGAAAATTGCGGAGTGTTGCACCACAACTTTTCAACAACCCGGCGACCTCTACTGATTTATAAGCGCAGCTACAACGCAATTCTCTCATTATTCTCTGTGACGATTTTATTTGCTAAGCTGCTTGAAGCGGTCGAGTGAAGAACCTGAATTGGAGAATACTCCACGCCTCTTTCCCGTGCTGGCATCTTAACAATTCAATTATAAAAAACCTCGATGTAGTCGCTTTTAAGGACATAATTTAATGGTGAAAGGCATCTAGTTTCAATGTTGTAACAAGATGCTAAATATACTGCCGAAAGTGCATTAACCCATGAACCTTCCTTGCAAACTCTGCGATGTTGCTCCACTCTTATTAAGAGCTAAAATCTAGACCTCAGATCTTGGGAATAAGCTATTAAAAGACACCGCTCGATCGACCCCCAGCAAATTCTGCGATTAGATTGCTCATAGTAATCGGACAATTATTAATCTTCTTGTACTGCACCGGCTTAAGGCTTTCAGTGAGAGTCTGTCGTTTTGCGGAAGTTCCGCAACTACTTCACCCCACAAAGATTGTTGCTTCTTGTCGAATAAGCAATTTGTGGCTTTAACTTAACGCGGACAATAGCAGCCTGTGTGTCTATAAAAACTCCGGAATTAATACGTCAGTCCCTTTTGCGATACTTTTAAATAATTGCTAGTTGGTGAGCCGGCAATGGGGTAGTATATTAAACACGATACTAAGCAAGCGCTCTTTGTCTTAAAGAGGCGCACTGCGCTACTTTAGCTTCTCTCTTATAATAATACGTGATTGGCTTCACGAGGCGTACATTGTACACTGAGTACTAGCATTGCCTATAGAAAGCTTCGTGGTTTGTCTATAGAGCTAACGTAGTTAATCCAGTCACTATCAAATCCGTTATCGATATCAGCTAAGTTATACTGGAAACCTGCTTCGCCCCGAGTGAGTAAGTTCGACTGAAAAACCATCGTGGTAAGAACTGCATAAAGAGTAATGTTTAGTTAGCACTATGATTTTCCATATCTGCCATGAAATCAACTAATCAACTGATATATTGTATTAGTAAAGTACACATTCGATCCGCCTTGATCGGTTGGATTTTTGTGGTTTGGCTGAATAGTGCTGGCTACTAGTACTATATATAAGCGGCGGATCCCTGATGACTTTATTGTGCTAGGATTGAGCTAATTAACTCGAATTCTAATGCTTCGCGATGAGTACTTCCATCGCCTTCCGAAGCAGTTTTAAATCTAATATTCTTAGAAAGAGCATACTTAGCCTTAAATGATAAATTTGGTGAAACACGCTAAGTTTCTAAGTTAAGAATATGTTGGTCTTAGTAGCGAAGACGAAAGTACACATAAACCCTGGCTTAAAAATGAGCGAAAAGCAGGGCAGCAATGCAAGCGCTTTACCCGCCACTAAGAGCATGATATGTGCTTCCATGTGATACGTGCATAACTTAATATGGCACACGCTTCACCTACTTAGGCAGTCGACGCGCCGTAAATTATGACAGCACTGGGAAATAAAGCAAAAGAAAAAATCTGGAACGCGGGCTAGTGGGCAAGGGCTCTCTTTAGGAATGAGTTGAATTGTTTGCGACTTAATTTTTTAAAACGCAGTCTTGAATGCCTACGAAAAAGGAAAAGCGTATCCATATCTCCGCTAAGCAATGGATTTTACTACAAGCCCTGCAAAGGCGCACTATATTATCGTACTAATAACGATATTAAGAAATCCACGTGAGCAAGTAAGAAGTCGGGAACAATTATGTTTACTAAAGGTAATGCAGGTGCTTGGTTGCTCTCTTCCTTTTCCATTTTTTATCTCCTTTTGTATTCTTTTTATCACAATGCACTTAATATAATTTTTATTTCTTATTAAGTTAATCCTACATCCTCCTTGTAAGCCTGAAGACTAAAATGCAGCACCTGGGATGAAGGAGGGCCTTAATAAAAAGCAGAACGATTAATTGAAATGGTTCACTCTTAAGACCAGATGTTTAAGCTAGAATATATTTTTTTATAACTTTTCTTGGTGCTTAATTGAGCCAACCAACCTAGGCATATTTTAAAATCTATAAATTCCTATGCTTAAAATGAAAATAGCAGCCGATTAATGTGTCTAGTAGCTGTTCGTATATAGCAATGCACACAGCAATTTGCTTTTTTTGTTGCACGCTTGGACAACTACTCGTAGCCTACTCAAAAGAGGCTTATATCTTAAATGGTTGAATTCGCAATACGTATTTGACTACTTGTAAAACGAGAGTGGCTCTTGCCACATTACACAGTAAAAAGTATTGCGATTCTCGACCTGCTTTCGATCCAATTTAAAATGACCTCTAGTTATTTCTCCTGGGAACCAAAAAATCTTTGCGTTCAGTGCGCACCAGTGCGACTAGTAACTTTGTAGTTTCTAGTAGTAAAGCAAGCCTTCTTGCCAGACTCGGTCGAAGGCTTATTCAACAAAGCAAAAAGATACCGGTAGAAGTTTTTAATATTAATAGGGTGGCGGTCATTTAACCCGCGAGACGGAAGAGTTGTTGAGCCATTTAATGTTCTTGCTGGAATCAAACTAAAACACAGAGCAAGAAATTGCGTGCATTAACAACCTCTTTAAGCGGAGTAGGCGTACGCTCACGAGTCGATAAGATGGCAAGGATCAAATTACATCGATTTTGGCTATTATTTATATCTAACCTTTGCAAACAGGATGTATGGCTTTTGTCGTTAAAGGCTTTTTCCAAAAATTCGCCGTCAACTTTAAAAACAGCTGCCGTAAAATTGGTAAATGTAAACATAATTTAGTAGAATTTTCTTAGGGGGGTTCTCCTTACATGGGAAACATAACGTCATTGTGGAATGAAAAAGTGTGCCGCGTTTACGAATAGATAGGATGTGGCAGGTCTTTGCTGGTATTATACGCAGTCACGATAAATTTAGAATTGTAGTCAAAGCTCTTCACATTTCGCATTTTTAGCAGGTTTGCAGTATGTCTTAGTTGATTTTTAAAAGTTTTCAGGATTTTAATAGGCGTAGCAAGCAGATTTTTTATATATATAATATAATTATTACATTATTTGGCTACCTTAGAAATCGCAGAGAAAAAACGCCACTTCCCTACATAGTCCTTCAAAGCTCCTCCATCCCGACTGATAGAATAAATTTGTTTATTCTATTATCAAGCAAATATACTTCTTGCACCTGCGTGCCAGTCAAAAAGAAAACTGCTTTAAACAAGGTCATAAATATAGGATTGCATATTCTTAAGGGATTAAATACTATTCTCTAGTCATTGAGAAGTAAAACATAGTAGCGCGTCGCATAGTATAAGTAATTTGAAGAAGTGACTTAACTTTCCTTCTTCGAAGGCGAACGCTTTACAATAAAATTGTAAAGTCTACCTGCAATAAGGGATACATATTCTTGCTCGAGAAAACATTGCAAAAATGATTTATAAATCACATTCGTTTTTTCAAAAAATTACTTGTTTTAAGTTTGCATTTGTTAAACGATATATTATTGTTATTAATATAATTATTAACTATAAAGTTAAGCCAAACTAAAACTTGTTGAACGCTAAAAAACACGTTATTTGGTCTAACTTTGTACTTTTTTTTATTTTTATTCAAGACAACCAACTATGTATTCTGAGCTTGAAGTTGCCGGCATTGCAAAAGGCGTTACTAATAAAAAATAATGTGTGCTGGCCTTTGTTAGCTTTTGACTTCTTAATAAACATTGTTGCTTTATTTAAAAGGGTAAAGCAGTATTAAATCTGAATGTCAACCAAGAGAACCATAAAGTCAACATACCGTCGCCAAGTATTTTTAAAATTTAATTAAGAGAAATTAATAAAATTGTAAGTGTTTTAACAGAAAGAGATTTAATTATGCAAACTTCAGCAACTTTCTTTATTGGTGCTGAACGCAAACACTAAACTTTACTTCTCTAACAACTTTGCAAGAATTTTCAAAAATTGGTCGCGTTTACTTCACAAAACCTGCAATATTATTTTAATTATAAATGAATTCTTTTACCCGTGTTTTGTAAATCAGATACTTTTTAAGTATAACTAAAATTGTCTTCTTTCCTTTTATGCAAAGTTATATGGTCTACAAACGAAACTTCATTCTATCTTCTATTATTGCACGGGCGGCTTTGGGTGCAATAGCTTCCACTCGTATATTTCTTTTATTTTCTTTTTTAAGTTTACATTCTAAGTAATTTAT